CGAGCAGATGATCACGAGTAATACAAAATTGCTTGATGAATGGTGGGGAAATTAATATCAATTAGAATGATTGTCCCAGAGAGGGACTAATAACACCCTCCGGTTTCGAGCTGTTATGGTGCCTGTATGTGTATTGTAGAATTTGTACACACTTGGCAATTTGGCAACTGAAATCGCCAGTGTAAACACAAAAGTCGTGCGTCCAACCGATCGATAGCAGCGAGTCGGGAAATTAGAACATGTTCTAATTCACCAACACGGAGCAGGCGAGTTGGACGTTTTTTAGCCAAGTGGCCAATCAGAGAACAGCAAACAGGGGTGTGTCCCTCCACCCTAGGGGGAGAGCACGTTTTTGCTTTAGGCGCCACGCTGGCGGCATGTAATACATGCAAAAATGCTTATACGCATCGACCCGCACACACGCTACAGGTCAAATGTTGAAACGTTTGCCGCCTCGCGGTCGATAACGTAAGAGCTTTGAAGTTAAACATACATATAGAGGTTGGTAGAAAGAAGAAAAACGCCAACTTGACTGCATAAAATCGTCAGTGTAAACCTTAGAAATCATCCACTAGATGGCGTTGGCATGTCATATATAACCAAATGGGTTTATTTACGGAAAACGGCCATAAATCTTTCCGAAAATGTCGGACAAAAAAATTCATCGCAGGTGCACAACTACATTGGGTACTGGTGACGTGTACCAAATATTGTTAAAATCGGTCCAGTACTTTTAGAGGAGATGTCCGGACAAGTCTGGTGGCGGACAGACGGACAGACGAACAGACAGACAGACAGACAGACAGACCAAGTGTTTCCAGAATAACCCCTCCTCCTAACTTTGTTGGCGGGGGGTATAATAACGACTGGTGCAACAACATCACACTAATGACTGATAGGATCATGTAACTAGTTATGCTTACTGGCATGCAGGGATCTGCCAAGACAGATAGGAAATATTTGTGACCATTATCCTTGACTAAATCAGTCTGACACGTCTGCAAAAAATAAAAAACATTTTTATATAAAGACAACATTATATAAAAATAGTTAAAAACAATACAAATAGTAAAAACAGTTACCATGTGGATCACTGAACCACCTGATGATTTTTTCGTGCTGTTTTCAGCAGTTTGTAATTTTGTATTTGAAGTACGTACGCTATCCACGGCGAGGATTTTCGCCCAGATAAACACCAGTAGAGGGCGCAGCTCTCTTGCCGAGCTCTGCAGAAGCTTCAGCACATAGGGAAAGATACCGACTGACAACGCCTAAAAGAAAGATGCACACAGCCATTAGACAATATTACAACGCGATAATTTTACAATATACGAAAAAGCCAATGCATGAGAATGCTCAACAGCTAACCTGACTCTCATTAAAAAATACTTGACTCTAGGTTCTAGGGTTATTTTCAGTTTATTTAGGTTAAAATTACGCTACATTAAAAATTTCATGGTTCAATCAACATTAGAAATGTATTTTTTTAATGTATTAAAACTAACTACTACAGTTTGATTACAACGACGGTGGCGCCACTCAAAGCGCACTATCTGAAAAGTTGCGCAAACGGACTTTTCAGCCAAGGGCTACAGACCGAGGGTGTTTCAGTGTTTCTTATTTATTAATTTAAAAGCAGAAGGATTGCAATATCTTATAAATGACATATAGTTTCAGTTATAATATGGATAAATTTGTCCTAAAATGAATATCGTTTGGTTAAATAGCATTTAAGTATAAATATAATTGCACTTTTGTGATTAGCCCTCAGTCTGTAGCGTGCAAACTAAATTGGCTAATGCACAACTTTTCCAGGGTGGCAGCATGATCGCGGGTGTCATGTCAGCGCCCAAAAATTTAGATTTTTGAAATTCAATGTTGTTTTATGACAAACGTGAATACGTAATTATAAATATTTATAGGTATGTGCTATTATTTATCAATCTACTATCATAATATACTCTCAAATTCTAGAGTAAAGCATTCCTTTAAACTGTCACAGTTCACTGTCGAAATACGTTAATAAAAGAGGAACCTGCAATGATCGCTTTGATGGCTCAACTAATAAATCAATTTGGCAGGTGTAGACTCTTAATCCAATCACTGCATTGTATTCGTTAGAATGATCAAGAATTTACGAAACAGTGCCTTTACTGCGAGTAAACTCACCAAGCTAACTGCCCATGGCCCAAGGTCCAGAAACCTGCCCAACAGTTCCAGTGCACGCAACCTGTGCACCTGACTCAATAGCACCTGCGGCAAAAAACGCACCAACATGAAGTAGCCACTCACAATCACATTACACTATAATGCAATATTATTTACATTTTATAGCCAGCATATCAGCAAAGGTAAACCATACGAACTCAAGTTGATCGTTCACGCAAACATCTTACACTAGGCTGCACCTTCAATTACTGTTTACTGATTACAGATACCAAACGTATCTATGCGACAGATGGACAGAGATCTTTCCCCTCACCTGGAGAACGATGGGAAGCTGCTCGGGAGGGCTTCTTGTCTGCGAGCCAAACGACAGCCACACCTGGAAGGCGGTCAGCTGCTCGGCAAAGAACAGACTGTGTCGATACGTCTCGCCCTCGTTCAAGATCACTGGTAGCTGCGACAGACATATATCCAGCGCCAGGTCCCACGCCTGCCTGCACGCGACACGACGAGAAGAGAACGGTGGCTTACGCGTACGTTCGAAAGCAAGACGCACACCACTGGATGTGCGGATTTTACAGTAATAATTACCAAGCCACCCCCAACTTGACTAACTACTCCATTGTTTTTGCAATATTTTAGGAGAAGGAGGGTGCCCAATACATTACTAAAAAAATACATGCTTTAATTATAGTTGATTAATTTAACGGCATCAAAGATAAAAACAAACCATTGACAATAGACAAGTCTTATTGAGAGACTATGTGCGGAGGCTTTTAGCCATGCTTTTGTGTTCGTCACTGCTCACCACATGGGATGCTGGTGAGTCGACGGAAGGTTGGGACTAGATATCGGAGTGCAGTCGTACGACCTCATGATTCGCTCGGCCAATAGAAAGTTGCGAAACAAGCTAGCGACGACAAGATCCTGTCGGAATAACTTCTGAAACAAGTCTGAAACACGAATGACGTCCATAGTCAATCGATGACCAAAATCATTTATGCTACACTGCTCAAGTGATAAGGGCGTTTCCCAATTAGTCTTCTTACATTATTATATTACTTTCCTGATGTGCACGCAGTACAAGCATGGTACACGCTCAAGTTAATAATTAACGAGCAAACAAACTAGGGTTTCTAGCCAGTGTGTAGGTTACCGGAAACTGGAAACCACTGACGGCCCGACCATGTTACAACTGTTAGTCGATATTAATCAATGTTTCACAATTTTGCCATCAAATTGACGTCCCAACTGAATCATCAGCCCATGTCATTGGCAGTTTTACCTCGCGGCAATGTGTTCCATGCGATCGTGTCGGTGATGGCGGTAAAAATCCAGTTGAGTTCACCGAGCATCGTGCGTCGGTCGTTCAACTGACCTGGAATTCTATTGCCAAGAACGTCTAAACATCACAATGAACACACTAAAGCAGTACCATGACAAAGACTAAATATGCAACTAGATGAAAAATTATCTCTAATATTCACCATGTATAATAATTTAATTCGTCACCTCAATTTCGCTGTATTCAGTAATTTTGGAATTTCGTTGCTCATCAAACAATCTGCTTGTAATTAATTGTAGAGACGTGTAGAGACAGTTTAATAAACACCTACTTGTCAATCAACTCCAGAGATATATTTGGTACTAGTTTGCCTGCATTCTGAAGCACAAACCTGCAGCAAAAAACGCCAATGTTTTGACAAGCTCTCATTCAGATGTCTGTTCACTATACTACTCTACACACAGTCCCAAAGGATGTTGTTTCGGAAAAGCAAAAAACAAAACAATCAAACAACTACAATCAACAAGGTTGTACTACATCAGATGAGCTAAAAAATAGACTGAAGGAGATACCAATTTCTACAGCTGTAAAACAGATAATACTAGTGCATGAAAACACACAGGGCTATTTTCTCATGTTTTATTTCGCTCCAAAGTTTTATCACCGCACATTTTCCCTTAAACCACTTTGTGAAACGTTAATCACAGCTGTTCGAGAAACAGCAAACATTTCTCTACAGTAACTTCTAAATGTCAGAACAAACGGCTCAAAATTGCCACCTTCCTTTCTTACTCCCTACAATTAGGTGCCAGAAAATTTATCGAAGAACCAGGAGAAGGGCGCAGGAACAGCCCAACCCATCAAAACCTTTTTTTTTTAAAGTTAACATATGAATGCTGAGAGCTAGAAACCCATGAGCTGACGACAGCATCTCACCAGCGCAGCGCGATTCTGATGGGCGTCGTCAGACAGGAAGTGAAGAGGTCGGCCGGGAGGTCAGGGTTCATCGGTAGTATCTCCTTGCTGCCGCAAGCGGCGAGCTGGATGCAGTTCTTATATGACTGCTGCGGCGGGATCGCGCCGGTACCTCGGCCATTCATCGACGCCAGCTGGACACGGCAAGAAAAAAAATGGCTGTCAAGCTCGTTGTAGTATGTGACCCAGCGTTAAATGCACAGCCCCGCACGCAGAAATGCGATCGCTTAAACGTCTTTTGAGCTGACGTTTCAAAGTCTACGTCATTCACGACGCTAGACCAACTTCATGATCTACCCTGAGGGGTATAGAACCCCCTCCCCACCACCATCCTCCCACACTACCCTGAAGGGTAGAGAAACTCTCTCCCCCATGTTCCACTAACCCACACCACACTGATGGGCATAGAAACACTATAGCTGTCATCCCCTCTGTAGTGAAACATACAATGAGTCGGGTGGTAACATATCTCACCTAACCAACATCTCCTGGTTCAAGCTCACTGGAAGATCACTGGTAGGTGGCAGATAGTGTGTGTTAGTCACCACGCTACTGGCAACAGCGATGGCGCGCTACCTACACACTCAACAGTTCATTCAACGAACATAAGCGTATGTGTAATGCGAGCTGAAGAAGTCAGGCATGCACGCCCACTGTTGCCTAGTGTGTGTGTGTAATGTACATTCTAAGGCTAGGTTAGGTAGATTAGCTAGTGGAAAATGATTCGGAAATTGCATGCTGCAGTGCAAGGGAGCACAATTGTTTACCTAGTTCTTTCAAACTCCACACATCCATCGGTATTTTTTCTATAAAGAACGGAAAAAGCGAGATTACGTGACACGACACTCCGGACCGTCGGCAACACTGACGAAGATCAGAGAGAAACGTCCAACAAGCAACAATGGCAGGCAGCAAACGAGGCATGAAAGACATGAACCACATCACTAGCCAACACTACTTGCCATCATTCAACAACTGCATGGGAACATATACGCTTCAATGCAGCAATAACTCCAAGTGCCCTACTGGTTTGCTTCTATGCCTTTCCCACAAGTTCCATATGGTGTATGCATCCCTCGCTGTCCCACATAATACAAGTAGATAACAAGTAAACTGCACTGGGACCCTCGCAAGGGAATTTTTGCCTTTGTCCACTGAAATTTCTGATTACACCCATTAATTTTTTTTAATATATTCAATCCCTGCAACTGCACACAGACCAAACAGTCATTCTTTCACCGGAGGGCACACAACATTATGGCAGAGAACAAAATATAAATAAAAAATTAATTAATAAAGAAGCCCTACCGTAGCCAGCACCAGAAGAGGCGCTGGTTGCAGAGTACTGCACCAGGTTGCCACGGGAACCGGAGGGATGCAGCGTGGCGACGCTCTGCGCCTGCCGCAGACCCATCCTCGCAGGAGACAGTGCGCTCGACTCTGCATGACATCAGTATGCGTGTGCACATGTTAGAACAGTCATTGTTGTGAGTTTGTGCACATGCAGGCACGTGGCATGCCACACACCACATGATGCGTGAACAATCAATATTTAAAAAATATCTATTGAAAAATCACTACTTTTAATTACTATATTTTCAGGAAAAAAACTTTTATGATATATATCATCTTGTCGTGATTATAAATTCATTTTTGATTCATTCACTGTTATTTGTTGTCAATAAGTTTCACAGCTAGCGCAATCATGTTTTACTCTTTTAATGCTGATCTTCAACTGCAAACCTTTATGTTTAAAATGATTAAATGCGACATAGTGCCTTTCAGTTTATCGTAAACATGACAAAAACATGACATGTACTAAACACACGCATACAACTTCTGATCAAGTTGTGCTAGAACCCAAGCCTAACTACACGAAGCAGCAAGAGTTAAGTGCATTCTACCTAGTATCACAAGTTGCCAAGCATGTTAGCTGCAAAACGCTAGATGCTACGCAATACCATACTTGTTAGTAATTAGTTCTCTAAAGACAGCTCCCAATTATCTTGGAGTTAAAACAACATAGGTCATCAACATAATTACAAATTTAACGATATTAACGAAATTTACGAATTCACAAAAACATACAATCTGCACTACAAACTCTCCAGCACTAAAACGATAAAAACCAAAATCGACATTGCGCGCGCAGCCATCGACGGCGTCGTTACCAATTGCTGCCGACAGATGGCGCCGCCGCGGTTGTTAGCGTGGCAACGAGCAAAGCGACGGGTTATAGCCTACCAGCACCGGCAGACGACGAAAGCTGCACATGCTTGACAATGCTCCACCCACCGGCGGTGGTTGCCGCAGAGATGTAGTGGCTGCCGTTCTCACGCAGTCGCTCATCTTCCAGCAGCTGCGCAGCGACCGTCACAAACTGCGCCTCGAACTGCAGCACGAGACCCTGCAGCGCCACGATCAGCTCCTGCAACAAGACAGCAGGCAACGGCTGCAGCGTGGAGCAGGGTACACGACGCCGGAGCAGCTCCCCGGCTGCTAACGAGGCAGACGATGGTAATGTACACCTGTAGCACACGGTGTATAAACCAAAAGCCAATAAACTCCAGCACGGCTGAAACCATGAGGTCAACTTCACTCATCACATCATGGTATTTAGGAATAAGCACAAGCACAACTACAATGAGGTACATTTCTCCATAAGCGAGATAACCTGCACCCAACAGCCTTGGTCATGCCCGGCCGGCTCTTGAATTTACTGTCAGCATCCGTCACTTTTCGCACAGCCTTGCCGTGTAACGCCCGGCTGGCTCATGAATTTGCTGTCAGCACCCGTCGCTTTTTTAACAGCCCTGCTGCCCAGCAGGCTCTTCCGGTCGCCACCGGCACCCGCCGCGCTCCGCCTCGCTCGTACCTTCCTGACGAGGGCGCTGCCGTCGCCGACACGCGAGACGAGCTGCATGCCGACGCCGTGGTCGATTGTGTTCGCGTGGTCCGTCCGATCGGCGGCGTTGCTCGCGAACGTGCCGAGCGCGTAGACTGCCGCCGCACGCACCTGCGCAGAACAACGAGCCGCGTTAGGAGTCGAGTCAATCGTATGGAGCTACCCGCCTTCTACGCACCGCATTTATGGGACACATTTCTAGGAAGTTATCGATATTTATGATTATATTACGATATATTATTTATGCTTCATTCATAGCAGTGCCAGCGGAAACTTCTATATTACAACCACCTGCCTATAAAGACCATGGTTGACGGTTCCGTTCACACACGTTAAAGGGACAGTAGCCTCTAGGATTTTACTGCATACAACTGTACTTACTGTATAACAAATCGTCTATACCCACATGTATTTGTCACCAGATACTTAAAGGCATAATTCGACCATCGATTATGCAATTTTAACGAATGCTACAGTAACTGGCACCTT